AGAAAAGCTCCCCGTATGAGAGAATGAAACTGTTTTAACATGGTATGTGAAAACCGAGAATGAGGTTTTTTCGTCTGTCTGCAGTGGTTGAGGGCAGTATCGGGACAGTCCAGCAGCTGTGTGCCCTGGAGGACTGGAGGGCTGGAGAGGGAGGCCCCAAGTATCCTGCTCTCTTTCTCAAGGTGGTGCGTGGCCCGGTTGCCATCGGCACCTCGGTCATCAACACCAGAAACCCCTGGGTCTAGGTCTCCGGCGTGGGGAAGCCCAGGGCAGGCTGTGAAGAGCCTAGGGGGCCTGCCTGGGACTGCAGGTGCCAAGGGAGCCCAGACTCTCTACCTAGTTGCCATCATCAGAATGCAGGCTCCCATGGCAAGTTCTAGACGTCACTTCTGACTAACAGGCATCACTTCATAGTCATTCTTTCTTCAAATGGTTCTGATCACATCTCTGCAAGCAGTTTTGGCTGTGGCAGGTGCAAGCCTTCCCAGTCAGCCTGTTCTCCCCAACCCCTCTCTCGCCCACCAGGAGGGAGCTGCAGCTGCCTGAGAGGCAAGGCCGACCGCGGTGCTATGTGTGCCCCCAGCGGTGGGTGGACTCAGGAGCAACCCACCTGAGGCCCACAGGCACGCCAGGCCCACAAAGCCACGCCCCCTTTCCACCCTGATAAGAACCCACCTAAAACATTCCTTTTGGAGGACCCTGGCAGGAACAGGCCACCCTGTGGTGCACGTGGAGTTTGCCATCAGGAGCTGAGCAGGGACAGGCTCTCATGTGAGGGGCCAGGCTTTAAGCCTATCCTCAGCGTCCTCCACCAGCTGGGGCTGAACTCGGTGCTTCTCTGAAAGTGCTTCTGAGGCATAAAAAACTTTTTTCACGGGAAAATCTTGTGTTCCAGGCCAAATGTGTGAAAGCAGACCTGAGCAAGGTTGCCTTGGGAGGCTCAAGTATGGTCCACGAGTACCGACCCCCACAAGGCCCCAAGAGCCTCAAACTCCATCCCACAGACAGTCTGGGCTTCAGTGTCACTGACCGTGGGCAGGGCGCAGAGGTGACTCTAGAGGAGCCTGGCGGAAAGGCCGGCCTCAGGGCCTGCAGCACRGAAGGCAAGGCTGAACCCAGGCCTTCTACTGGAGGTCAGACTGGGCCACTTTATCGCCTGCCCTGTCCCCGGGAGGCTTGAGCAGTTGGACACACAGATAGACTGGTGGCAAGGCACAGAGCTCCCACGCTGGCAGGCCAACTGGCCTCCTTCAGACATCAGGCTACTCCGCCCAACAAGACCCCTGCCTGGGCCAGCCCCACAGCAGGACAGACATGCGGCCCAGATGGCACTGCCCTTCAGGAGAGGCCCCGCCCTGGCAGCCCCTCCACAGACTGCACTTCCATCTCCAGCCTGGATCACTACTTCAACTCACCTGTCCTAAAGGGCCAGCCAATAACGAGAAGGTGTGTTTTTAAAACGTCATTCTCAGGTTTTTCTGAAACTCCGCATAATCACAGAAGATACATGTATCGGAGTCATTCAAGAGCCAGGCGGATGCACCTGGAGGGGAGCTAGGGTGGGGAGCTGGCCAAGAGTGCAGGAAGACCTTGGGTCCACACCACGGCTGGCCACGGCTTCTCTCCACACTTGCAAGACTGACTTATGAGCAGACCTGGCTGTTGCCCAAGAGCAGCAGCTGCCCACAGTGGCCACTGGCACTCACAACTCCCTTCTGCACTCAGACCTCTTGCTGTCACCAGCAGAGGCTTTTCCACAGGACACAATTTCCAGCAAAAAAAAAAAAAAAAAGAGCTTACGTTTTTAAAGAACGCTGTTCTCGAACACACTCTGAGTGGCAGTCACTTGAAGTCATCGACCGCCTCACACACACAGGCCAGACAAGACTGCTGATAAACAACTCTGCTCCTCAGACAGGTGCAAGATTATTTGTGGCCTGGGCAGAGCATGGCCACATGGCAAGAACAGCATGTCCCTGCTATTTTGGGACAATGGCCCTGGCATGCCAGGGAGCACCCTGCATGGTTCCTATAATGGCTGAGGGCAGAACTGGAGGGACACCAGAGGAAGTATCCCACGCACCTGGCAGGTCTGACCTCACCTGCAGACCCACCCACAGGGTAGAGAACAGAGAGCCCCCAATCACTGCCATAAGCAAAAACTTCAAGACGCAGCACGCACAAGGCCATGTGGGTCCCGATCCCATGAGCACAGCAGGAAGAGGCAGGGGCTCATCAGGACTCACGCCACAAAGGCCCTGTTCGCGTCTCAGATAGACCAGGCTAAAGTCCCCACTGGGCACTGAGGCACCAGAACTGGTGTGCAGCTGCTGGGTGGCAGGACAAGGGGTCATCAAATTATTTGATTTCAGCATACTCACTTCCCCATAGCCCAGCTGCTTCTGCCTGTGAGATCCAGACACCTTCGATCACATCAGAGGCGTCCGTCACACACATCCCCTGGGATGGGGAGAGTGCTCGGTGATGGCCCTGAGCACTGTGCACCTGGCCAGGGAACAGAGGTGCTGAGCCAGGAACAAAGGCCACACACAGTGTGGAAAAGCATACAGCTCCTGGGTGTGGGGAGCCACTCCAAATGCACACACCTGAGTCCTGATGCACCTGGCCATCTGAAAGATCAATGTAGCCTGGCATGTCACTCGTGACTCAGTCTTTTCCCTCGCTTGGACAACAAGGTATGGCCCTAGGAGTAGGCGGCACCCAGAGGGGTTGAGCTACACTCACCTGTTCCCTTGTAACCCTACCCCTTTACCCTTTTTGGTATAGAATGTTCCATGAAACCTCCTCTTGTAGGTTCCCTATATAAGAATAAAGAATTCCAGTGGCTCGCTCTCTTTCCACAGACCCTTGAGTTCACAGAGTCGTCTCTGAATTATTGAAAAAGGTATTTCTGTGTGGTTGCGTGCTTTCTTTGTAGTTTTCTTGAGTTATTGGAGTAGTCAGTTTTTGTGAACCCAGCATTAGGTCACAAGCTAGGACAGCTGGCAATACCTGGGTGCTTCGCAGGTAAGCCGGGAAGAAGCTTCGTGTCCATGACTGGAGGGCTCCGCAGACAACAGGACCTACCTCCTGCAGGACGTGCTGCGCCACCTTCCACAGTCTGCAGCTCAAGGTGGCACCTCAGGAGACAGGGGCAGCGCCTAACAACCCCAACTCATAAACCAAGGTACAGGCAACCACTAGCCTCCAGGGCATGCACCCAGCCTCCTCAGGTGTACCAGTGCCACCTGGGTCTCAAATCCCCAGTACCTCCCTGGGTCAGGTGTCTTTGTCTTCCTGGTGACCACCTGGCCCCTCTGAGACCATTCCTCAGGGCTGCATCTCAAGGGGAATACACAGACCAGACTCCAGGACTTTTAAACACAGAAAATAAATCTCATTGTCACACTTCCGTTTATCTTTGTGATCTCTAGTGCCCATTTAGGGAACATCCACGTGAACAAACAGCTTAAACACTAACTTTAGAAATGAGTCCAGATGTCACCCCCAAGTAAAAACAGCAACTATCAACTATTAATCCAGCAAACCTGGGCAAAGTTGAGGGTCTTATTTTTATGGTTAGAAATGAGACATTAGAGAGTCTTATTTTTCTACACTTCTAAAACCTCATCCTGCTATGTGGACAAAAGTCACAACTCTGTGCAGCTCACTCACCCCACCCTCGACCTCCTCACAGAAATGGCACCAACACAGAGACCGTGACCTCCCCATCACCCCCAGGTTCCATGCACCACTACCACCATCAGCCAGTCCAGCAGACACCAACACCCTGGCCATTCACCCCAGGGCCATGTCTCCCACGGGCTTGGGTCAACACTTGCCTAGGTCAGCAGTCCCATCAACCCCTTTTGTGGGCAGCTGCCAGAATATCAACACCCAGGAGCCACCTGCTGCCCTCCAGGCCCACACCAGGGCTCTGCCCTCCAGAGACTGCAAGGATAAGGCATCAGCTCCAGTGCGTCTCAATGGGTTCTGCTCCCAATAGAGCTGACCCTGGAGCAGACACCCTAGCACCCATGAGCAGGGGCTGTGGAGCTCTGGTGGAGACTCAAGGCCCTGGGAGCTGCATGCGGCACTCACCTGCTCAGTCTGCTCCCATGGCCCAGCCTGCTCTGCTCACTGTGGCTGCACCTCAGCCAGGGCTGCATGTGTGTCCCCCAGCTGCTGCAGGGCAGTCTGGTGTGGTGCTCCAGGAGCAGAGCCTCAGCACCCAGCTTGCCCAACGCCACTACCCTCTCCTCCTCCAGAAGGTCTCCTCTCCCACCCGCAGGTGGTGTGCTCCAGCACACCCACCCAGGGCCCTGCACACCCCCCACAGCCTTGCCAGGTGCACAGAGCAATTAACTTTCCACCTGCTTTCTACCACCAAACTCTGCCACCAATCAAGTGGTACGGTTCTCCTTTCTGAATAGTCTCCTAGAACACTACATCCATAAGTCAACGGACCAAGACCTACAGGTTTAAATCCATGCCCAGGAACCACTGAACCCGCCCAGCATCTACCTGCCTTTGACAGAGTGGAAGAGTGCTCCCAAGGGCAGGCACCTGCCTAGGCACATCCCGTGGCATCAGACTGCTCTCTGAATCAACCCAGAGAAGGCCCAGCTCCATCCTCCTGGACCAGTGTGGATGCTGAGACCAAGTGCACCCACCCTCCCAAGTAGGGAGACTGCCCTGGCATGCAATCTGCCTAAGGCCTGGCATCCCAGGAGCCACTTGTAGCACAAACAGTAGCCGTGCCCATTCAGGGAGATGAAGTCCCCAGGCTGAGGAGAGCAGAGGAAGTGCAAAGCTCTGCAGTAGGAAGGTTATATAGGTCCTCGCCCTTGACCGCAGGGTCAGGGCTACACGTCTAGGGCAAAGGGACTTCCCTACAAACTCCTTTGTACCAGAACCCAAGTGCCTGACTAAAGGACCACCAGCATGGCTCTTGAAATGGGGTATTTAATACGAGCGCAGGGCCGAGGGCCAGGCCTCACCTGGTGCGCACCCTGGAGCTCCATGGCCAGGGCTTTCAGCTGTTCTGTGTGTTCGGCACGCATTTCCATTCTCAGGCTATCCTTGGCAGACTGAAGCTCCTTCTCATGTTTTAGCTTAAGTTTCTCCAACTCCTGAGTCAAAACTGCTTGGTGAGAAGAGTCCTTTTTCTGCAGCTGTTCCTCAAGCTCTGCTCGCAAAAGCTCCAGAGCTTGCCTGTGCTGGTCCTGAATGGCCTGAACCCCAGACATGTAGCAGGACTCCAGAGCATCCAGGCTTGACGAATGTCTCGTTTCCAGAGCACTGATTTCAGCAGTGTGTTTCATCTGCAGCTCGGCCACTCGAGCCTCGAGGAGCACCTGCTGCTCCCTCTCCAGGGTGGCCACCAGCTCGGCCAGCTCCACCTGGTGCCTGCTCTCAAGTTCTGTCCTCAAGGCCAGAAGCTGCTGCTGGTGTCCCTGCTGCAGGAGCTGGAGCTCGTGGGCGTGCTTCTCCTGAGCATCCCGCAGGAAAGCATCTTGGTCCGCAGCAAACTTCTCCATGATCTCTTTACGCTCCTCCAAAAACCTGAGGCAACATCCCAGGTGAGCGGGGGCGGCAGGACCCATGACCATGCTGCAAGCCCCCTGCAAGCCCTGAGCCACATTTTCCACTTGACCTGGGTGGTTCAGAACCTCGGCCTTGACCTCTAACTGTCCTCAGGGGAGAGGCAGGGGAGTCGCCAGGGCTCAGGCAGCAGAAGGACACAGCACCCACAGGGAGACTGTATACACATCTCTGAGGACCAAGCAGGGTAGACACCCCAGTCACTCTTCAAGGCCCCTAACTCCCATCCTGGGTCACCTGACCCTCAAAAGGGAAGCATGTTCACAGGGTCGCAAAGCAGCACAAGCGCCTGAGAAAGGGCAGTAAGAAGCCAGATGGGCAGTGAAACCAGCTTCTAAGGAGGAGCAGAATCTCATCAGGAGCCAGGAGGAACCTGGAACCACAAGCGCTAGGGAAGCACCGAGCTCCGCTGTGGGCACGGCTCCACTCATGGTGCATTCCACTATGTTCAGTGGAAGACAGGCACTGCCCCGCTGGGCACTATGAATGTCCAGGGGCTTCCACAGACTGCCCTCCATAACATTGACACAGAGGTCCTGTGGGGCTGGACGTTAGCCCAGTGTGGCGGGTCTGGGCTAAACTCAAGTCGGGGGCCGAAAGCATAACTCTCGCACACCTGTGGCATGAGAAAGCTGACGAGGAAGGAGGGACATGCTGGGCAGAGCCAGCACCAGGCCCAGCGGCCCCTCACCAAGGACACTGGGGCCACCAGAGCAAGGACAGAGGTGCACAAAAGGAAAGGACCTAGGCGGGCTCTGAACCTATCCAAAACTTTAGGCAAGTGAAGGTTTTAGAAAAAATATTTAAAACCGCACACGTAAGGACTGGGGTTGTGGCTCAGTGGCAGAGAGCTTGCTTCTTGCATGAGAGGCACTGGGTTCGATCCTCAGCACCACATAAAAATAAATATACAAAATAAATATATTGTGTTCATGTATAACTAAAAAATAAAAAAAAAAAAAAAACAACCTAGGGCTAGGGCTGGGGCTCGGCAGTAAATGCTCGCCTAGCACATGCAAGGCCTTGGGCTCAATAATCAGCACCACATAAAAAAAATAAATAAAGATATCGTGTCCAACTAAAAAATAAATATCAAAAAAAAAAAAAAAACTATACACGTAAAACCCAGTCAGTCATGTGAGTAACCTGCCTGTCTTATGGGTGGGGCAGGTTTACTGCTGTTTTGTGTCTGTTGTTTTTTTCCAGGATGGGGTGTTGCACCCAGGGGCACTCCACCACTAAGCTGCACCCCAGCCTTTGACATATTGTTTTAAGACAGGGTCTTGCCCTCGTACTTGACATCCTCCTGCCTCCGCCTTCCTTTACAGGCACGCACCACCACACCTGGATGCTGCTGAAAGGTCAGAACACACAGAGAGGCACGAAAGGTATATGTGCACTAATGTCACAAAAGGAGTGCAGCCTCCAGGGGAGGACACCAACCCGTCACCACACATCTGTTATGGGGCACAAAGGTGCCCTGCTGCTTTAAGAGTGAGACTTGGGCATCACACCCCCTCCGGCTCCCATCCTCCCACCTGGCTGAGCACCCACTGGGCTTCCATCCTCCCAGGGCCTCCCTCAGCCTGCCTGGCACCTTGGAGACAGCGGCATACCACCCAACAGCCCAAGTCACCCACCTGTTCCGAGCCTGCATCAGTTGAAGGGCACACTCTTCCTTCCCCTGGAGGAGTGTGCCACACTGCCCATCCGAAGTTACAGGGGGGTCCTGGCCGCACCCACTGCAGGGCAGAGCCTCGTCCCCAGCAAGGGCCTGTTCCAGCTGCCGCAGGCGGCCCTGCTGCTCCGCCAGGGACTTCTCCAGGGCCAGGATCTGTGCGGCCTGCTGGTCCTGCAGGTGCCTCATCCCAGCTTCCCGACGCTCAAACCTGCTCACAGCAGACTGCTTCTCAGACTCGGCCTTTTCTTTTAGCTCACGGCACACTGAGGCTAAGTTCTCCTCAGCTTCTCTCCTCAGGTCCTCGCGTAAAAGCTCCCACTCCACTTCTTTGTTTCTGAACTCTTGTTTCAGTAGCTGAACCTTCTGCTCAGCTTTATTTAGTTCTTCCTGGTGATCTTCTAACAAACTACGTTTTACCTAGAGAAGCATAATCTTATTTAAGAGGAAAAAAATTAAAGGGAAAGACTTTTCAGAAGCAATGACTGAAACCCATCTCTGAAGAGAGGGAACTTTTCCAGCACAGGTGTCATGCTGAGCACAGCAATGCCAGGGGCAGGGGCCTAACACGGGCTCACTCAACACTGTCCCCTGGCTTCAATAAAAGCTAACCCAGGGACACGTGACTGTAGCAGAGCCAGGGCTGGAGGCTCCTCCACCATGACCCAAGAGACACTCCCACAGCAGGAAGATGGGAGGTCCCAGAGAGACGAGCAGACAGTCCTGAGGTCCACATTCAGTGAGTTAAACGGGTAACCCTGAAGTGATTCTGTACGCAGGCAGATAAACGAGAAAACTGAGCACAGGCACACATTCCAGATTTGAAAAGGAAGAAAGTAGGTCAATAAAGCACTAAATGTCATCAACAAGAAACAAACCCAAACCAAAATAAGGTATAAAAGGCTGACCTCAACTTCTCACTTAAAAATAAAGTCTAAAACAATAATAAAAAATAAAGTCTAGGGGCTGGGGATGTGGCTCAAGCGGTAGCGCGCTCGCCTGGCATGCGTGCGGCCCGGGTTCGATCCTTAGCACCACATACAAACAAAGATGTTGTGTCCACCGAGAACTAAAAAATAAATAAACAAATATTAAAAAATTCTCTCTCTCTCTCTCTCTCTAAAAAATAAAAATAAAAATAAATTTAAAAAAAATAAAGTCTAGGCCTGGTCCTGGCCTGGCTGAGCAGCTCCGATCAGATCAACCTCCCAGGGACAGCAACTGTAAACTGAGCAAGTGCTGGTGACCACTCAAGGCCTGGAGAGAGCTGAGGAAGCAGTGGGCCCACAAGCAGAAGGAAGGGCACCAGGCTGTCTTCCTTCCAAGGCTTTAGGCTGGCAGCAGGAGCCAAGATACCCTACCCAGGAACTCCCATCACCTTACCTGTGTGTGCCAAAACAGGAGAGTGAGGGGAAGCTCTTAGGAAGAGCCAGCAGCTGCCCAAATCTCAGGCTGAGCCCTGATGGACATGGGCACAGGCTGACTCCAAAACAGGCCAGCTAAAGCCAAAAGAACTGAGCACACCATGCTTSGTCCAACACAGAGGAGACGGACACAATGAGTCCGATTTGGCCACGCTTGCCTGCTGAAGCAAACAAGACTTCAACAGATCCTAGCGGAACCCAGAGTCTTCACACAATATGTACAATGTCCAGGATACAGCTGAAATTAGCTGATACACAAGCACACAGGAACATATGACCCAGGGTGCAAAGAAAACGCAACCAATGGAGACCAGCCCGAGAGGACACAGGCAATGAAACCAGCAGAAAAGAGTCTAACAACATCTGACCAAAAAAATCTGTCATCCCAGACATTTTTATGTAGCAAAAAATATTCTTCAAGAATGAAGGTGAGGGCTAGGGTCGTGGCTCAGTAGTAGAACACTTGCCTGGCACGTGTGAGGCACTGGGTTCAATCCTCAGCACCACATTAGAAGTAAATAAAGTAAAGGCATTGTGTCCATCTACAACTTACAGAATGAATGTGAAATAAAGACCTTTTTAAATAAAAGAAATCTTTTGCAGCAAGCATAGCAAGAAATGCTAAAGGAAATTCTACAACTGAAGATAAACTCAGATCCTTGGGAGGAAATGAAGGACTCCAGAAATGGTATAAAAGTCCAAGATGGAGATGTATTTCTCTCAAATACATGACTTTTCAGAGTAAATCCTACATGTTGTATGGTGGATTTTACAACATAGGGGGATGCAGAACTGCTAAAATGTACTACAAAGAGGAGGTGAAAGATACATCTACACAATGACGAAATCTTACAGCTTCTGTGAAATGGTATCCTATGGATTCTACTGTGAACTCATCTCTTGAGCAAACATGCAAAACAATGCAGAGAACTCTAACTCAAAAGCCAACAGATACGTCAACATCTATCCAGCAAATACTCAAATAATTCTGAAAGTGAGAAAAAAGGAGCAGAGGAACAAAAAACAAAAAGAACACACGTAGAAGGCAATGAAGGGGCTAGCCCACCACACCAACCACCGCTCCAGCCTCACAGACCCTCACTGCCGGCACAGGTCTGCAGGAGGCCCAGGGCCTTGGGAGAGAAGGCAAAACGATGGACTCGAAACGCACAAGGTCAGCAAGTCTGCACCTACAGACACGGTTCCCAGACAAGTGCCGTGACGACCAAAGACTCCCAGCACAAGCACACGCCACACAGAGAACTAACAGACGAGGAAGAGAGACAGATAGTCCCACCTCCCTTTTCTGGTGACTGGTGATCAGAGACAGCAGTGGCCTGGGAAAAGCGCTCAGGAAGGCCTGTCCCCGGTCAACAGCTTCTACGCCCACAGGGCTTTCCACAGGTCGCCCTTAGCCCTACCCTGCTCCACATCCTTACAGGGCCTCGATGTAAACAGCAGCCCAGGAAAACTCACACCAGAAACAGCTTCCTCCAAGCTCTTCTGATGAAGATGAAAACCCACAGAGATGCTTGCAGGGACGAACAAAGGGGGAAGCAGAGGGCACAGCAGACAAGTGGTCACATCCAGTCACGAGCATGAACTGAGAAGAGTTTAGTCAGTACACACATGCAAAGCAGAGGGGTTTCTGCACATTCACTTTCATCTGCATTTAAGCACGGCTCTAAGGCCTGGGCCTATACTGGTTGGGTAACAATGCCCCTCAGGTGCTGTCCACACTCAACTGTGGCTGGGAAGGGGCTGGGAATGCAGGCTCTGCACCGTGGCAACCATCACCAGGAAGAGCCTAGAGATGAGGAACAAGACTTAAGACACGAGCTGGATGACAGAAGTGGCAGGTCCCTCTCCCTGTAGCCCGAGGACACCGACCAGTCTCTGAAGGAGTCAAGACCTGTGCCGACACAGGCTGGGGTGCTCTCCTACCATAATGGGCCCCATCTTAGAAACCACTGCTGGCACTTCACTGCAAGGGCCAATCTCAAGATTTTGTGTTCAATGCACAGACACCACACTGTGAGCCCCAGGACCTCCTGTGCCCATAAGGGCCATGAGCCTGTGTTGGCCACTACTCACACTCTCCAGATCCTCTTTCAGACGGGTCTCGTGCTGCAACTTCTCCTGTAAGTTTCTGTTTTCTATTTTTAAGAGTTCGATTTGCTCCTTGAGTTCAGTCTGTAGAAGAGACAGTCTGACCTTGTGCTCAGCTTCCAAAGCCAGAACTCTGGCGGCAACCTGCATGTCCTCCTTCAAGGTCACATCCTGCACACACTGGTGATGTACCTGTTCGGTCTCTGTGGAACAAGGAGGGAAGGAAGCAGTCACGCACCATGGCCCACCCAGAGGCAGTGCCAGCAAAAGTGCACTTCACTGACACCGGCTGTGCACAGACCAGGCAAAGGTACTGGTGCTAACTCAGGATGGGGCGGGTTTTCTCCATGCCCACCCTGGGGGCACAGCTGTACCCTATTGCAGGCATACCCTGCCTGCCCAAGATACTCCTGCAGATCAGGAAGGATGTAAAACCTGCCACGGCTCAACACAGGACAGGGACTGAGGGCATGAGGCCAGAGGGCTGGGACTGTGAGCGCTGGGCACACTGCCTCCTCACTGCCAGACCCAGGTCACCCTCTACAGAAGAGGGAAACAAAGGTACAGTCAGAGTGAGAATAAGACACGTCACAGGGCAAACACGGAACACCACCAAAGCCTGTGAGCAGACACCCTGGCAGCGGCGGAGGCACCCTGATGCAGGAAGGACAAGAGGAGGGCAGAGGGTGTGTCTGAGGCTGTGTCTGAGCTTTGCTCCTCAAGACTTTCCCCCTCCAGCCCCAAGTATGCTCTTAGCCAAAAGATGGGCTCTTGATTCTGCAACCGGTACACCCAGAAAAGTGAGAAATTATATCCCATCTGATTCAAATGTATGATATATCAAAATCATTATACTGTCATGTACAACTAATAAAACAAATTTAAAAAAATATATGGGCTCCTGCCACAGCATGCAGCGTGGAGCCTGACCCTTGCACTCCTTCACGGGGCCCCTCGGCCCTGGCCTCTTCCCCTCTACTAGGAAGACTGCAGTGCCCAGGGCAGGCTGGGGCTAGAGTGGCACCACTATCATGTCTCTCACCAGCTGCCCCCGGCTGCCGACCTTCCTGGGATCCCTGTCGGTGGCCACTGTCCAGGTCCATCACCACGCCTCGGAGATGAGAGGGTTCCCCATACTGCCACCTCCCAATAACCCCACAACCCACCCCTTGCTCTGCCTGGACGCACTGCGGGCTTGGTCTACCAGTCTGACAGGAGCACAGCAGGATCCCAGCAACCTGTGACCCCAGGGTACTGCCACAGGCAGACCTGCTCCTGCCTGGAGAGAGCCACCTAGAACGGGCTGGGCCAGGAGCACAGGCTCCCACCCAGGCCAGCCTGCCGCATTTAACCTGTGCCTCAGAACTGGCTTGGGGTGCACTTCCAGGTGCCAGGCTCATGGTCCAGCTTCAGCAGACGTGGCCATGAAATCCATCCTGAATGGTGTACATCGATAGGACACCCCTGCAGGCCCAGCTTGCAGCAGGGCAAGGACAAGGAGACAGGCGCACCTTGGCTGTGCTGGTCTGAAGGCACAGCTTGGAGTGGCTCTAGCTCCAACACCTCAGGTCCCAGGAGGCATCTGTCCAGCTGGTCCTCATGCTGGACGTGGAGGGAGGAATCCCACGCTGGCCCCATCTGTAAACCACGCAGGACAGACATGCTGAGCCTGGGCACCTTACTTGCTGTTGGTACCACTGAAGGCACTGGCTTCTGTGTTCAAAGAAATGGTGAATGCCCTGCCAGAATGAGTGACCACACAGGCAACCCCGTGCACCTCACCAAGACACAGGTGTGCCCAGCTGCCCCTCCCTTTCCATCACTGTCCAGCACAGCCTGGAGAAGCTGCAGCTGCAGCAGCTGCAGGCTGAGGACAACATGCACCACCAGGGGTATGCTGTGGAATCAGAAGACTCCTTCCCCTGAGCATCAGGCAGCAGGCGGACACCAGGGGGTTGGGGCTTGAAGAAGGCTTAGTGTAGTGGACCAGTCCACAGCAGTCCTGTCATTGGCTCCACAAGGTCAGATGAGACAAGGGAGGGCAAAGGCCTGTCAGAACATCTGGAACAAGACCCTGCACAAACAATGTTGACCAGAGGTAGCCTGGCAGACACAGCATGGCCATAACACTCACAGCTGTGACATGACCCTGAGTCCCTGGGAAAGCAGGAGACCAAAGCGCACTGGTGACCAGGATTCTGTAAAACAAGTTCTAATCAGGACGCAACAACCAGGACCGGAGACCAAGAGTTAATGTCACTGCAAACACCTCCTCTCCCCGAGGGGCCTTGCTTAGACACTCCGGGGAAAATAAGTGCAGTAGAGGCCTAGGACCTGACATGATCCACTGTCACCCAAGAGCCAGGAGTGGACTCAGGCAGGGCACTCCTAAAACGTCCCCTCCACCCAAAAGAATTGAGGTCACGAAGAGCACGGTTGTGGTTCTCCTTCCATAGTGCCCAAGGAGTGCCCAAGGAGTGCCCAAGGAGTGTCCAGGAGCAGGGGCCTGCACAGGCACCCAGCTCTCCTGAACCTCAGATCTCGCACCGGGGACTCTCCTAAGTCCTGACTACTACGCCCTGCTGCAATGGCAGTGAGACCTCACCACACCACGCCTGGCCCTCAGCACCCACCCAGGGGCCCAGAGAGCCAACGCGGGAGCCTGACCAAGGTCTGAGAGCCAGCTGCAGGCCAACTGCCACTGTGTCCCTTCCCTGGCACCTCCCTCCAAGGCTCGGCTCACCTTCTCCCACCACTCCCTCTGTCCTTTGCAGGCACTCCCTCGACAACTTCCTGGGCATCCACCTCTCGGGACTCGGGCACCTCCCTGCTGCCGATCCCCACTCCTCCTCAAAGAACCCTACTCTGGTGAAGGCTCTGTTTCCCTTTGTTGTGTCGCCCACACCACGAGCCACATGGGACACCTGACCCACCTCCATGGTGTCCTCACCATCTCTACAGAGCTCTCCAGAGCCCAATGCCAGACTTCCTCAGACACTGGACAAGGACATGTTCTGTGTCCTCCACAAGGAGGAATTTTCAAGTCACACACAGAGCAGGAAGGGAGCCGGCTATAGGTCACCAACCGGCACAGAACACCCACCTCTGACAGCACAGAGACCTGGGCAGAAACGTAATAGATAGCACAGAACACAGAACGCCCTGGACACCCAGGGTGGTCTTCAAGAGGTGAGCAGAAGCCTCCCATCCTCAATGCTGGAACAAGAGGACAGAGAAACAGAGAGCAAAGCCAGAGACTGAAAATAATGATGGAGATAAGAAACGTTCCTGAATGACCAGGGTCAACGACAGACAGAACCTCCCACCCAGAGCAGCCTGAGCACATAGGACCCGTTCTGGAGGAGCATGAGCCTGCCAGGGACTATGGCAGCAACAGAACCAGGGACTTAGGCATTCAGCAGCCCTCGCACACACAGCAGGCAGAGCAAGATACTGAGCTTCAAAAGCCGCCCCCCACTCCCAGGTCCCCAGTGTGCAAAGCATGTGCAGACAGATGGAGACAAAGGCTACTGATCATAGGTGCCAGCCTGAGAGCCATGGGCGGCCAAGAAAGAGGTCACAGTAGGACTGTGATAGTGACACCAGCTCAAATGTGACCGAGCAGACTGTGGCACAGCCACCCTTACACACCCATGAAGGGAACACAACAGCAACCTGAGGCAGGAGGCGCAGCAGAAGCATGGTTCCCAGGCAGCCAGGGGTGTAGGACAAGTTGRAGGGAAGGGCCCCCAGGAGCTGCAGAGAATAGCGCCCAGGAGACAGAGCGTGCTGAGCTGAGGTGCAGCTGTGCTAGGGCACCAGAAAACCAGGGAGGCTGCGTGGAGCTTCCCTGCAGCTGGTGTGGCCTGCCCTGCTTGCCCACGTGCACACTGATGGGAGGAGGAGGACACTCAGGAAAGGCCGTCGTTCACGGCCATGTGGGTGACAGCCCGAGGGCTGGAGACGACTGCGCGGGTCCCCTACCAGATTCGTTGGCTGAGGTCCTGATCCCAGGACCTTCACAGGCAAATGTCAAGATTAAGTGAGGTCACCAGGGCATTCCCTAATCCAACAGACAGGCGTCCTCATGAGAGGAGACCAGGACACAGACCACAAGAGGGACCACCATGTGAGGACTCGGTGAGAAGATACCACCTATAAGCCAGGGAGAAGGGCCTCCAAGGGCCAGGCCATGAGACCTGTGGCTGTAACAGAATGAGTCTCTATTGCTCACGCGGCAGGTGGTGTGCTCTGTCATGGCAGCCCCAAGCCAGTTGACCCCACAACCCAGGACTCAGAGGCAGAGCACTAGTGCTGAGGGCTGCACTGCCTAGCACAGAGGGTCCCAGGGCTGCGGGCACCCAAAAGATGACATCAGATGACCTGGTCACACAAGCCGCGGGTGCTGCAGACATCGCACTGTCTCCATAGAACCCAGATGCTCCAGCATCCATCCCCGAAGTTGTTGGAGAGTGCTTTCCACAGAGGTTAAAAATGACAGAAACCAGGGACTGGGAAGGGTCCTGGGGGAGGAGGGTGGAGAGAGGGGCGGCTGGATAGGGCCAGCACAGGAGACTGCACACCCAGGAAAACCTGGTGCAGCCATCAACAGCCATCAATATGTCGAGGTGTCTCACAACTGGTCCCTTCCTGGCCCTTCTACTAGACTAGCCACAAGTGTTAACAAGTGTCACAAGCAAGAAATAGCAAAAGAATGACAGAAAACTACAGCATGGAGGTAACTGGAGGAAGAGGAAACGTACAGGTTGACAGAAAGATGCTCTGGACGAAACTCAAAGCCAAACACAGCTGCACAGCCCCTGGACTATCAACGCATGGCAGCCAGGTGACTGAGGGCAGGGGGCCGGGGGCAGCCTCTCAGCCAGGATGGAGCTGCCAGAGTGCGAAGGGGGAACCCTCAGCCTGGACCCGTGGGCAACAGAGGTGCTCCTCAGGAGAGCAGCCCTCCCTGGTTGGACCACTGCACCACGGCAGACAGCAATTCAGAGGCACTTGACCACTGAGCCACATCCCCAGCCCTATTTTGTATTTTACCTAGAGACAGGGTCTCACTGAGTTGCTTAGCACCTTGCTTTTGCTGAGGCTGGTCTCCAACTCATGATCCTCTTGCCTCAGCCTCCGGAGCCATGGGATTACAGGTGTGCACCACCACACCCAGCACAGTTACTTCTAAATTACAGATCAGTGACCACAACCCTTGCTCAGCAATCAAAACAAAGCCCATCACCTTCTGCCGCTCAAGACGAAGGTCAAGTTGATCAGAGTGTTCTTTTCTTTTTCCATAAGACATCTCTTCTAAAAATGTACAGGATGAACTAAGAAAAAAAATATGTTTAAAAGCTTCACACGTGACCATTCAGCTGCACCCACCCACTCTCCCTGGGCCAGGTACAAAAGCAGAGGCCTTGGTCAAGGATGGGATGACCAGGTCTGCCTTTGGCTCAGTCAGCATCCTGGGACCACAGCAGGAGCCACCAGCTAGGGACCCACGGGGTCCATCTCACTTCCAGTCCAGACCACAGAGCACACTTCTAAAACAAGTCCACCAGTCTCTACTGGCATAGATGGCAAACATGGGATGTGAACCAGCCCAAGGTCCCATGTCAGAACCATTCCCAATGACGACTGCTTCCTCTGTACCTGACTTCACCAGACCCCAAAGGGGGCTCCTCCTTGGCCTCCTGCAGCCGCTGCTGGAACAGGGTCAGGTCCTCCTGGTAAGTCTTCTCAGCATCCCTCAACTTCTTCTCAAAATAGACCCGTAGCTGCTCCAGCTCAGACTCATGCTGGCTCCTGTCTCGCTGCTGCTGCTGAGCAAAGCCTTGCCGCAGGTGCTCCAGCTCCTCCAGGCAGGACGCTCGTGTCAGCAGTGGCTCCAGAGGCCCTTCCACAGGAAGAGGCACACAGTCAGGGGGCAACAGAGCAGACTCTGAGAGGGGCCCAGTCCCAGACCTGGGAGTGGAAGAGGGCCCTCGCAGGGCTGCTCAGCAGAGCTCCTGAAAAGCAGCACTTTCTCTTGCTGGTGGTCCAGGAGCCAAAGAGACCCACTGTGGCAGGAGAATGGGCCCAGCCAACAGCTACCAAGGAAAGGAACAAGTGTCAATCCTGCATCCAGGATTGAACCTGGATCCTGCACAACCCCAAGAAGCCTAGAAGTGGGTTTGGGGAGGTGTGTAGCAAAGACAGCTGGGTTTCACCTGTGGGCGCCCCTGGCCAGAGAGCCAGACGTGCCCTTCAGACCTCGCAGAGCTCCTGACTGATTAGGGCACACTATGACTGTCGCAGTCTGGCTGGGCACAAAATAACCAAACTGCCACGTAGGTTCAAACAGGAATTCCTTTATTGCCCGAACTCCCAGGAACGCCACCCACGCGGCCCTTCCAGGAGCACCACACACCAACCAGAACTCCCTCCACCAGACCCTCACCAACCAATGCGAACTCTCCAGGAACCGGAACTCAAGGGAACGCCACCCTATTGCCGGACAGCAGGGGTCCATATACAATTGAATAGACAGCCTGTTTCAATCCAGCATCATCCAGTCACAGCAATCATACACTGCTTAACTTAATTATCATCATCTTAATGGCTCGGTCACCTCTCAACCACTCCTTCTGGTAATGTGCCAGGCGCCATTCCGACTTGGCTATGGCTCTCAACACATGACCACACAAGAACTATAGTCCTGGGCACTGCAGGCTGCCCCAGTGTGGACTCAGTCACCACCCAGGGCTCCCTCCTGGGGGCCTCAGTATAAAGGAAGATCTGCAGCTGAGCAAGAAGGAGCCAGAGCATGTGCAGAAGCAGCTGCGCCTCTGGTCCCATCAGCTTCTCTCTCCTCCAGCCTCCAGTGACAAACAGACCCAAGGAAGGACAACTGACACACTGCCCACCACATGTGGCCACAGACAGAACTTGGGGCTGGGAGACGAAGCCCAGGCTTCCCTTCCCAGTGCCTGGCAAAGGGCGGCTGCCCAACAGCACAGCCCTGGTCCTTCCTCATGATCCACCTGCCCTAAGGGCAGTTGGCAGATGAACTCCAAGAAGAGGACATCTCTTGTGGCCTGGGATGCTGGTGGCCTGAGCTGGGCCTGACTGTCCCTGCCTATGGGCACAAGTGGCTCTGCCTGCTCTGGAGCAGCCACATTTAGACAGCTGAGCAGAAACCAATCTGATGTGAATGGAGGGACTTGGCTCTCAGGGAAGACTAGGACCAAGCTGTCCCAGACAAACTCGCCACCGCCGGTGGGCCCTGAGTCCTTCAACACTGGAGCTTGAGCCACTAGAGGCGGCACACAGGACCACGGTGAGGGAAGCAGCAAGGCACTGTTTACAGCCATAGGCACCAACAGCAGCGTCCAGGAGAAGGCTGAGCACCACAGGCACTTCGCCTCACACTGGGGAGACACACCCACAATGATGCCAGTCTGCACCGCTAGGGCCATACAATCACACAGCTGCTACCAGCTGACTTGCCTAAGGACAAAATCATGGCTCTCCCAACTCTCGGTCTCCACCCTGGGACAGTCCAATGCAGCACGAGGCTCGTGCACTTCATTCCCAACGAAGGCCGATCCCTGTGCCTGACTTCCACAAACCCCTGAACACTGTATAGGACGGGCACATTTTAAAAACTACTTTTTGTGCTAGCTACAACTACTAAATTCTAGTTCATGAAAAATGAAACTCTCACAATGAAAAACATGCCTTCAGGGCTCATCATGTGGCTCAGTGGTTGAGCACTTACCTAGCATAAAGCCCTGGTTTCCTTTCCCAGCACTGCAAAAACTGAAAAGCACACACAGCTTTGACTTTGGAGGGTCTGAATTTCCTCCACAAAACTGCTCACCAGGGCTGGGGTTGTGGCTCAGCGGTAGAGCACTCGCTTAGCACATGCGAGGCCCTGGGTTCGATCCCCAGCACCACATAAAAATAAATAAATAAAACAGATATTGTGTCTAACCACAACTAAAAAGTAAATATTAAAAAAAAAAAGGGGGGGGGAGAGAAAGGCAGAGAGAAGGGAAAGGATATGCAAATGGTAGGAGACCTTCAATGATACACAAAAGTATAAGAGGTTATGATGGGCAAGGGGGAGGGGGAAAAAAAGGGAGAGAATTGAACAACAGCTGACGAGGCAGAGAGGGAAGGTGGGAGGGGAGGGGAGGGGGGATAGTAGGGGATAGGAAAGGTAGCAGATTAAAACAGTCACTAATATGCCATTAGGTAAAAATGTGAGTATGTAACAGATGTGATTCTGCTATCTGTATTTGGGGTAGAAATGGGAGTTCAAAACCCAATGGAGTCAAATGTATGAAAGATGATCTATCAAGAGCTCTGTAATGTATGGAACAATCAATAAAAAAAAAAAGGGGGGGGGGAGGGGACTCACAAAATTAGAGGGAAGACCAATGGAGGAAAGGAAGGAGATTGAGAGGGAAGGAGGAGAGGAAGTGATGAGGAGGTATGGGGGAAAGTAATCTACCAAATCATGCTATGTCCATGTTCAAATATAACACAATGAATCCTACAATAATGGATCATGTAATAATTAAATAATTAATAATAATAATAATAATGCTAGAAGGGAGATCAGAGTAGAACAAGTAAATTAAGGGAGGGAGGAGAAGAGAAGATACTGGAGAATGAGTTGGGCCAAAGTATGTGATGGACATACACAATATGAAATAAGGAATCCCACTATTATGTATAATTACAATGTACCAATAAAAAATAAATTACATAAAATTAAATAGAAAAAAAAAAAAAAACCTGCTCACCATTCAGCTCCTCTCTGTTGGTTCTCACAGACTCGAGCTGGGACCACAGGCGCCTGACTTCTTCTTGTGACTGGGCCTTCAGGGCTTCATAGGATGCTTGAAGATTCTCCAACTAGAAAAGGAAAGCATCACTGTGAGGAACGCAGGAGACCAAGGTGCACCATGTGTGGTCTGTGTTACATGCACCTGGTGGGCAGGAGCCAAACACATGTGGAATGGAAACTTACACCCCAAACCTAGCAGCCAGAATGGAGCAGCCAGAGCAGCCTCATCCAAACAAGGCCCAGGCCAGAGTCAGAGTCACTTAAAAGTAACAGCCAGGTATGATGGTGCCATCTGCAATCCCAGCTCCTCAGGAGGGTCAGAGAGAAGAGTCATGTAAGCCCAGGAGCCCAGGGCCAGCCGGGGCAGCATAACAAGACCCCAACTTGAAATAAGAAAGATAGAATTCAATTCTGGGTGTGAGTGTTCACAGCATAACTTCAGCATGTACATGCTGGGGACAGTGTAGTCACCTGCCTGATGGCCTAGAGCCATAACGGCACCATTCCTGCAGCAGCCAGACACAGCCATCATCTGTGAGGCTGTCTGCACCCTCTGGGCACAGGACGGGGCTCACCCATGACCATGGTGGGACCTGCAGGAAGGGCTTGCGATACCGCTGTTGTGAGGCAGGGCCAGGGAAGCAGCATTACCCACAGGACCATCCCTTCAAATGAGGAGTGTGTGTTCTTCACGTTCACATTACAGAAGCAGGTCACCTCACACTCGGACACTAAACGCTGCTCCTCACCTTGTCAAGTGCCCATAAAGCACAGCATGAAGGGCTAGGCCCTGCCACGGACTGACCCTCTGGTCTCAGGGATGGCGAAGAGCATCCTGACACACTGTGACACTGCCAGGCCCAAAGCGAGTGCACCCTGGTGGGATGTCAGCACCATTCTGTGTGGTCCGGCTACAAGACAGAGCAGGCAGGCTGTCCCAGCAGAGACCCAAGAGGCCTTCCAAGCAACACAGGCCTGTCCACTCGCCAAGGAGGACAAGCATGCACCCTGCTGCAAGGCTGCCTGACTTCCAGACTTCCAACCCCTCTCCCTGCAGTGCCGTGTTTCCTCTACAGTTACCCCAGGCCTGGGCCTGTTCCCAGCAGATGGATCTTCTCCCTGAGCAAGAACCGCAAAAGGGAAGGCAGGCTCCAGTCCAGAGCCAACGGCCAGGCCAGGAAGGCCTGGTGGAAGGATGAGCCTCACCATCTGTCTCGTGGGCTGCAACCCCACAGGGAGCTGGGCAACCACAGAGGAATGTGGCCCCTGAGCTATGGCCTGTAGTGAGAGAGGCACTGGCCCTGAGGCTGATCCATCCTCTTCATGGCATTAGGACCAGGGGGTGCTCATGGGCTTTCTCCCCATCACTGTGAGACATCCTAGCAGCCAGGACAAGACTAGGACCCCAGAAACAAAGGATATAGACACCAGGTCTTCAGGTCCAGAGATGGGCCCAGGCAGGCTCCTGAAGACCATGGGGACCCATGTTGCCCCTGCTCAGATTGCACACCTCTGCACACCACCAATTCCAACTTCTGTTCTACTCTTTTCAATGTCTTGGGCTGACCCTCATCTCTTGGGTTTGGTAGGAAAGCACTCAGGCTGGAGTACCCTGGCCATACCTTAAACAAGACATGCAGGACTGCACCAGAAGCAGGTCTGGAGCAAGTAAGCAGAAATGCTTTGGGGAGCTACTGGAGGAAGTTCTGGCTTATAGAATCACAGTTGGGGAACATGGCCTTACTCCTGGAGTTTGGTATCTTTTTATTTATTTTATTTTATTTTTTTATACTTACAATTGAACCCAGGGATGCTTTACTACTGAGCCACATCCCAGCCCTTTTTATTTTTTATTTTGAAACAGGGCCTTCATAAGTTGCCGAAGGTCTTGCTAAATTGCCAAGGCTGGTCTTGAACTTTCAATCCTCCTGCCTCAACCTCCCAAGCCATGAGAATTACAGGTGTACGCCAACATGTCTGAATTACCATTTGGGACCTTTATTAACATTTCAGGTATACTTCTAGAGAATGTGCACTTTCCAAGTACAAGGCAAGAATGTTAATGCTGACATGAACCTCAGACTCTGCCCTTGCGCCTCCACCCAACAAGTCTTCTCAAAGTCAGTACTCAAATTTCAGCAAATAACAGAACAATGGCCCAGTTACAAAATCTTTTAAAACTTCTCTAAAGGCTGGGGCTGTGGCTCCATGGTAGCGCACTCACCTGGCATGTGTGAGGCACTGGGTTCCGGCACCTCACACAAATAAATAAAGGTCTATCGACAACTAAAAAAAAAAATTAAATTCCCTAACACGAATAATTAAGAATGAGTGAGCTCGTGCCTACCTCCAGCTGCTTTTCTCTCTCCCTCTCTCTGAACCTCGACTCCAGGTCTTCCAGGCACTGGCAGCGCTCCACCTGCAGGTCCTCGCGTAACTGCTTGATGGCTGCCTGGTGTTGAGCCTCCAGGTTCTTCAGGGAGACTAGAAGGCAGCACGAATTCCACCTCATTTTCAAGGAGATGCCACTATCCCTCCTCAGCGGCACTGGCAGCAGGTTACCACTGAGATGATAACAGCTCAGCTCGCTGCATGCCACTGAGCTGCATCCTGGGCCCATGCTCTCCTGCACAGTGTGCCACGCCAGGGGTGTGGCAGGAAGGCAAAGCTGAGCCCCAGCCTGCAGGCCCAGTCCACACCCTGTCTCAGCAGCCACTCTGCTCTCCCCAGGAAGGAGGAACAGACAGACATGGTGGTTCACAGGCAGCATCACTCAGCCCACAAGGACCACTGCAGAATACACAACTACCAGATACTACTGTTCTGGTATCAATTTAGTAAATAAGCACACAAAACATGTCTTTGAGACAGAGGTCAGGTGGCCAGCAAGGAGGCCTCCCAACCTGCCATCAGGAGTACCTGGCATTGGAAACCAAAGGTGGCAGAAGTGTGTTTGGTCCATGTGGTGAGCTGTAAGATCCTGAGTCTAATATCACACAGAAACTCAGCCCCTCCAGACCTGCTCACAATAGTTCTATGCTCACCTTCAGCCTGATTTTTAGCTTGAAAAATCTTTTCCGACTCAGCTCTCTGTCCTGCCAATTCTTTCTGAAACTGGTTTTGCAAATCCTCCATTTCTGACTGGTGCTTTGCGGATAATTCTTTGCGTAGATTTTCTAAGCATAACTCTTTTTCAGATTCCCAGTCTTGTTTTAGGGTCTAATTTAAAAGAAAAAGAAGATTATGGTAAATATTGATCATATGTGGTAAAGAAAGTTCAATCACACTGTCAAAAACCTAGAGTGGAGCCAGGCGCAGTGGCGCACGCCTATAATCCCAGTGGCTCAGGCAGGAGGATCGCAAGTTCAAAGCCAGCCTCAGCAACTGTGAGGTGCTAAGCAACTCAGTGAAACCCTGTCTCTAAATAAAACACAAAATAGGGCTAGGGATGTGGCTCAGTGGTTGGTTGCCCCTGAGTTCAATCCTCGGTACCCCTCTTCCCCCCCAAAAAAAAAACCCTAGAGTGAGCAACCCTTGACCCCATACTGAACTGTCACTGCAGGAAATGGGTCTTGATGGCCAGCCAGTGACTCACCAGCTGCTGCAAGGACACAGCAGGAGCATGCACAAGGCAGACAGCTGGAGACAAGAGAACAGGGCCGCCTCGCCCCCAGCAAAATGATTCTCTGAATACAAAGTGCATTGCGTGGCCATTCTTGAAAGCTCGTGAAGCTATGTCCCTACAAGATGCAGGATCTGATGGTGACTTGCCAAACTCTCCAAGAGATGGGTTCTGGTCCCAGCGTCCTAAGAAACAACTCTCCGCTGCCAGGTCAGAGGAGTGGAAGGCCAGGGCATGAACCCCAACCCTGAATGGACAGCCCTGGCCAATGCCTGAGCAAGCAGGACTCAGGAGGAACCCCTCAACTCACTGGGGCTGGGGCTGGCCCCCACAACTCCACAGCCTCCTGACATTCAGAGGTACCACACCTCGGGCCATGTTCCCCTTCCTCCGCCAGACACAAGTCCAAGAGGACAGGGATAGTGGCCCAGGACAAGGGTGGAGGGGTGACAAGCAAATTTGTACCACAGACATCAGTGTGAAACAGCACACATCACTCGACAGCACAGCTGTCCTCACACAGGACAACTACTCGCTCTGCCCAGTTCCCCTGGGTCCCTCAGCATCAAGGGTCACAGAACCATGCTGTGCAGTCACCCACCTCAACCATCTGCACACTTTTCTCCATTTCTGACCGCAGCTTCTCTTTCAGCTCCGCTGTAAGACAGACAACAAGCCATTCAGACCCCTGAGTCTCACCTCCAGATCCATCACCCAGGAGACAAGGCTCCAGCACCATGGGCCACACAGTGGACACTCACAACAAACACCCTGTGTCCAGGAGGGCCACCAAAACCCAGGCCTGGACAGAGAATAGACAGGGCCCATACAGACCAGAATGGTGAAAAGAGAGCAGCCCAGAGAGGGTTGACAGACAAGCTATGTTTACAAGCTATGTTTCCCAAAAAAGGGAGAAAAATATGGGAGTCTGAGGCAGGAGATCGCGAGTTCAAAGCCAGCCTCAGCAATGGCAAGGTGCTAAGCAACTCAGCGAGACCCTGTCTCTAAATAAAATACAAAATAGGGCCAGGGATGTGACTCAGTGGTTGAGTGCCCCTGAGTTCAATYCCTGGTACCAAAATAAATAAATAAGGAGAAAAATTTAAATATACCTTTGTTTGCTTGAAAGTCCATGAAGAAACAAAAGAGCGTCACAAGAGCTTAAGAAAACTTGCCCCTCAGAGTGAGGGAGAGGCGGGCTGGGGCAGGGGCTCTCCACACAGCCACAGCTGAACATGCTGTTCCTGCACCAGTGGAAAGCAAGCAGGCAAGCAGGAGCACAAGCACTGGCCTGCGGCTCCCTTCTGGAGTGAGAACACGTGAACCGCAGCTGTGGGAACATCTGCACAGCTTGGCAAATGCACCCCAAGCCACCAGACTATGTTCTTCAAGCGAGTGGATTGTGCACTGTGTCAATTATGTCTCAAAAAAGATCTTTAAAAAAGATGTGCACGAGCTGGAGCTGGAGCTCAGTGGTAGAGTGCCTGCCTCACACATGTGAGGCACTGGGTTCAATCCTCAGCACCGCATAAAAACAAATAAATAAAGATATTGTGCCCATCTACAACTAAAAAGCTATTTTGAAAAAAAGTTAAGGGGGGGCTGGGGCTGTAGCTCAGTGGTAGAGCGCTTGCCTTGCACGCATGAGGCCCTGGGTTCGATCCCCAGCACCACATAAAAATGAATAAATAAATAAAAATGAAGATATTTAAAAAAAAAAGCTAAGGGGGCTGGTGTTGCAGCTCAGTGGCAGAGTGCTTGCCTAGCATGTGTGAGGCACTGGGTTCTATTTTCAGCACCACATATAAACAAATGAATAAAATAAAGGTCTATCAACAACAAGAAAATTTTTTTAAAGTTCAAAAAAAATGAAGTTAAAAAAAAAAAGATGCATGAAAGCAGGGTCCTCTTAAAAAAGAACATAAAAATTATTAAAAATAAAACATGAAAACATTTATTAGGCCAAAAAAAGAGCTCAATTTGACCAAGAATTAGCAAATTTAAGAAGTACCCAGGTTAGCCAGTGGGTGGCACAGCCAACCAGGAGAATCATGGTCAGCTCAGCATAGGAGGACAGGGTCTGAGACCAGGGGCATTTGGGTGGGGCTGAAAAAGCCTGTAGGCAGCAGATCCCACCATCCAAATTAACACTCATCCACTGGAGATTGCACTGAGGGAGAGACCAGCAGAACAAGGGCTGCCAAGGCCAGGTGAACAGACGTGCTGACCCAGGCACAGCTCAGCCCACAGCAGTGTAAACTGTCAGGAGCCAGGCTTGGGGGGCTGCCTTTCAGGGAATGGGGACAGGAGCGTGCACTCTGGACAGGGGAAGTGACCCAGAAAATAAGCAGGCCATTTCTTAAAGAGGACACCATGAAGTCTAGTGCAGCCAGGAGGCATACTGGCTTGGCCCCATGTGCAGAACCTCTCTCTTGCCCATGCCAGCATGCAGTACCAGTCTCCTGCCCACAGCGGAGTGCCATCGCTTCCTTCTCTTGCGCATGCTGCTCCCGGACCAGCTCCAGCTCACACTGCAGCCTGCTCTGCAGCAGAGCCAGCTCCTGCGCACGCCGGCCGTTGAGCATCTCCCGCAACTCAGTCAGTGCGGTCTCCTTCTCCTTCTGCAGGTTGGCCTGCGTTAGCTCCAGCTGCACCGTGTGCATGTTGCTCAGGCTCAGACGCAGCGCCTCCAGCTCCAGGCTGGGTGCCGTCTGGGGACAGAGGCACATCCGATGAGTCTAGGCTTGGAACCAGGCAACAAGGTGACACCAAGAAACACGTGATGGACCCAGGACAAGGGAAACAGAGCATGCAGCACAGGAGGACAACCACCTGCTCTCCACACTTGTGGCTGCAACTGTCCCCACAGTGTGCCTCCCACCAGCAGCCACTCCCATGGCTTCCCTCACAAGTAAGAGCAATTTACAGCAGAAGCAGTCAGGGCACCGCATATATGACCTGGCACAGGCCAGACTGCCCTCCCCAGGCCCCTAGATGCCCTTCCACCTGCCCCAAGGAACCGCCCCCCCACAGAAAACATGGAAACACAGCAAGCTGTGGCATCTGCCAATGCACTCTGGGATGAGTCTCCCCCACCTGCAGTCCCCTCCCAGCTCAAGACCCCAAGTGCCCTTGTGTGGATGGCTGAGGATATGCCCAGTGTGTGATGGCCAAGAGCCCTGGCTAGGCCGTGCAGGTCACCTGAGGCTGCTGCTGCTGGGCAGCCTCATCCTCGGATCTGCTTGCCAGTTCACAATCTTGTTCTTCTTCCTAGGGAAAGAAAGCAAAGACCATGGCCAGAAAATTCACAGAACCAGCAGCCACTAAGAAATAATAAAATAATAAAATAAACTGGTGCCTCACAAAAGCAGTGCCAAGGATGTTCCAGACACCTGGAAGGTGGAAAAGGCCCAACCAGACTCACACAGATGTCCCAGACCAGCAAACCAGGAGCCCGGGCTTTTCATGGACACTGCAGTCCTCCCTACAAGAGGGCGTAGGAGGGCTGAGGCTGGGGCTTGGCAGTAGAGTGCTCACCTAGCACATGTGGGGCACTGGGTTTGATCCTCAGCACCACATAACAATAAATAAAATAAAGTCATTGTGTCCATCTACATCTAAAGAAAAATATAAATTAAAAAAAAAAAGCGTAGGACTTGCATGTGAACTGCACACATCCTCCAGGAGACTTTCAGTCATGTTAGGTGACCTGTGACACCTAACAATGAAACTGCATAAACAGTGGCTACAGCCTACCCTTTAGGGAATAATGGTAAGAGCAAGAGGTCTGTCTGCATTCAGACCAGATACCAACTTTCCCCAAAGTTCCTTCAGTCTGTACTCAGTAGACTCTATGGGTGTGGACAGCTGATTGCACTCACCCAGAAAGCAAAGCATTAACAGGTGCTGCAACAAGGGCTACACGTCACAGAATACCATTTACATAACATATCAGGAGCCCAGATCCACAGAGAGCCGCCTGGGGGTGGCGTGGGCAGGTACAACTGTCAACAAGCACGCGATTTTCTTTTGGGGTGATAAAAATGTCCAGAGCTTAACAGAGGAGAAGGGGTGCACCTCTGGGCCTGTCCTAAAAGCCTCTGAAGTATGTGCTTTAAAACAGTAGATTAGGGACTAGGGATATAGCTCAGCTGGTAGAGTGTTTGCACTCACATGCACAAGGCCCTGGATTCAGTCCCTAGAACCAAAAAGAAAAAAAAAAAAAAGCAGTGGATTACATCATGGGAATCACATCTCACTGAAAGACAGCCATCAGGGAAGGGCACTCGCTTTGCTGGACAGTGCCAACCTAGCCATCTGAATGCAGGAAGAGAAGAGCGACACCACAGAAGAGAAAAGGTACAGGACGTGGTGGACCAATGCAAGACGCCAACATCAAAGGTCACTTATGGTCACCGAGTTACAAGTATTGACAAGATATGACTGATTCTCAAAGTCATAGAGGGCGTGGAAAACAAATGCACCCACACAGTCGATGACAGAGTACGTGAGTTTGCTTTCTTCTTAAAAGGTACTGGACAATGTCTGTCAGAGCCATCAAAGACCTCTGTCTTAACACTCCAGCTCTGCCCCTTGCTTCAGCAGCAACAGCCCCAGGGAAGAGATGCTGTGGCCGCCCCTCAACAGGGATCAACGCAGCTCCCCCCCAGTCTGTCTGCCTGCACAGCACCCCTCCGCCAGGAAACCCCTCCCCCCCAGTGATCTTCAGGTCCAGCCTCTCTGTGTGAAGTGTCGCCTGGGCACTTCAAACTCGGAATGACTAAATAAACTCAATTTTCCTGCCCAAGCCAGGGGACTTGGGGTGGACAACTTGATGTGGTCATGGAGGCTTAAAAGACCCCCAGAAGAACCAAAGTGCAGGGAGCTGACAGCATGGGTGAGCAACACTGAGGAGTTCAGCAGAGTGTGTTAGTCGGTTCTGCCTGACTGTGACCAAAAGACCTGCCGAGAACAACTCAGAGGAAGAAAAGCTTATTCTGGCTCACGGTCCGGTCCAGGTCCACGGCTGGATGACTCCACTGCTCTGGGCCTGAGGTGAGGCAGACAGCATCACGGCAGAAAGACACCGCAGAGAAAAGCTGCTCTATCTCATGGCACCAGGAAGCAGGGAGTGCAGGCAGAGCCAGGGACAAAACAATCCGTCGCCCAGGCACAGCCAGGGGACCCAGCTCCCTCAGTCACACCCGACAACGCGCCTACAGCTGCCACCCAGTGATGCATTCCAATTATGAATCCACCAAATGGATCAATCCACTGGTTAGGTCACAGTACCCTTAGTTTAACCATTTCACCTCCCGCATAAACAAAGGAGCCTTTGGGGAACATCTTACAACCATAACAGGGAGTATGACAAGATTCCCCCCAACACTGGGGGCTCCTCCAGCGTTCTCTGCCTCAATGAACGAACGGCAAAGCAAAAACCACACTCCATCCCCGCCACATCATGACCAGTCGTGGCGTCTCTCCACTCCCATAAGCACAGCTGTCCAGTGTCCTGCAGCCACTCGGCCTCTCCTGACTTTGCCACACTCAAGACTGCAACTTCCCATGGGGTGAACCCCAGCACACTGGGCTTCAGTGCTCACCACACCGGCCTCTGCTCTTTATCTGCTTCCTCTTGGGGCCATACCAAGCCCAGCAGAGGGCACAGCTACTCTTGACCCCATGTCCACGACCACCTCCACACACCACACCTCTAAGGAAGTAGTGCCTACACAATGCCAGGGGCAGCCTCCACGTCACTGGAGAGCATCTGCATGCTGGGCTCACCTACCCACGAGGTGATCGACTGCCTGGGAACAGCCTGACTGCTCACAGCAGAGCCTGGGTCGGACACATAAGAATCCTGCTTCAAAGTGAGCCTCCTGGGAAGGTCAGGGGAGCACCCATTCTAACCCTGAAGGTGTGATCCTCAAATATCTGAACCACTGGTAGGACCCACAGAAAGGGCCTGGACACTTCCAAAGGGACTGTGCACACCACACAGGACCTCAGAGCCCACTACAAGGGCACAGTCCAAGTGATGCTCATTGGGAGAATAGATCTCTGTACCTGAAAGTCTCCCTGCAGAGAGCAGAGTCCCGCCAATCTCACTGATGAGACCAGTGTAATCTCAAAGCTACGCCTGGCAAGAATTTACCAGAGAAGTCAGTGTAAAAATAGGGGAGGAAAAAAGATCGTCCACAATCGCAGACAATGCAGAGCCACTGATACACTCCCATGCCACTACTACTTCAGAACCCAGGGCCACATGTGCAAACAACAGAGACAAATGGTGACCAGCCCCTCAGGGGCTAATTAAACCCCACAGACATGCACACACATAGACCAGGAGGACTGTGTGAGAATGCCCACAGACAATGCCCTTAGACAAGGACACTGCGGTGCACCATGCACAGGACTGCCTGGAAACTGCTCAACATGGTGGGACCCGCAGGAAAGGGCTCAACAGGAAGTATTTTAGCCTTTTTGCCATTGTGACAAAAGGATTCAACCAGAACAAGTGTAGAGGAGGAAAAGTGTATTTAGGGGCCCATGGTTTCAGAGGTCTCGGTCCATAGACAACAGATTCCATTCTTCGAGGCTCAAGGCAAGGTAGAACATCATGGTGGAAGAGAGTGGCCGAGGAAGCAGCTCCCATGAAGATCAGAAAGCAGAGAGGGAAAGGTTCCACCAGCCATATTCAAAATATACACCCCAAAGGCACGCCCCCAAGGCCCACCTCCTCCATTACCCCTCAATTCCATCAGGTAACTAACTAATACACTGACTGGGTTCAGGCACTCACAACCTAATCATTTCCCCTCTGAACGCTCTTTCATCGTCTCACAGGTGACCTTTTGGGGACACCTCACATTGAAACCATAACAGACACACTGCAGATTCTCCATAGGTGAATCTCATTATCAAGACACTGGACTCACAGGCACAGACCCAAACATTACATGCTAGAATTTATAAAAATTCAAAAACTAGTGGCGTTGAGGATTTAGCTCTGTGGCAGAGCACTTGCCTAACACACACCAGACCCTGAGTTTGGTCTTAAGCCCTGGGGGGGGGGGGGACGGACTCAAAAACTAGCAAAACTAAACTAGCTATAAGTACTGCATAGGATTTACACACACACACACACACACACACACACACACACAAATGAACCATAAAGCTCTAAGAAGATAACAGAATGTTTCAGAAGTCACAGGAGGACCGTGAGTTCAAAGCCAGCCTCAGCAATGGCGAGGCACTAAGCAACTGAGTAAGAACCTGTCTCTAAATAAAATACAAAACAGGGCTGGGGGCTGGAGTTGAGCTCAGCATAGAGCACTTGCCTCATAAGTGTGAGGCACTGGGTTCAATTCCTAGCAAAACAATAAATAACCAGATAAAATAAAGGTCCCTCAACAACTAAAAAATGTAAAAAAAAAAAATAGGGCTGGGGATGTGGCTCGGTGGTCGAGTGCTCCTGAGTTCAATACCTGGTAGCCCTCACCACCGCCAAAAAAAGAGAAGATAACAGAGTGTTTCTGTGACCCCTCAGGGCTAGGAGTGACTTTTTGGCAGGACACAAAAAGCACTGATCAAAAGAAAAACTGATAAACTCAAATCATAAAAATTAAGGATTTCTGCTTATCAAAGAACAGAACTAAAAACAACCCCCCCCCCAAAAAAAAGAGGCCAGTGAGGGTGGAGAAACCAATCACAGCAGATGTATCTAACAAATGACAAGTCAAGAACATCGAGACGTCTCCAAACCACCAAAGACACTAAGTACGTGGGGGCTAACAGAGGAGCACGGCCTGCACCCAGCTAAGACCTGGACACACCCAGCATGATGTCAAGAGTGCCGTCATGGTACCACGCCAGCATATGAAGGAACACAAACACACTGAAAAACCAAACACGACTGTATTAACAGATCTGGCACTGCAGAGAAAATATCCCTGAGTTTAAAGGCAAGGCAACAGAAACCTAAAATAAAGACAGATGCAGGGAAACTGGGGGTGGAGAAGAGGTGGCAAGCGTGAGGCAACAGCTTGGCCCCTCCTGTGGCCAGCAGCTGTGCTCAGCCGAGCTTGCACAGGGCGTTGCAGTCGAGGCTGTGCTCAGCAAGGGCATGTTTCCACCTTCAGAATGTGGGAGCATCCCAATGCTGGCAGATGTTGACACTGCAGGGCCTGGTGCAGACGCCAATACAGGGCACCCAAGGTCACCAGAAGGGGAGGGACAAGAGGGAACAGAAAAAAAATATG